ATGAACTTACCCTTTTTTTTTTATTAGAATGTTCTTATATTAATTGCAATTTTAATGATTTAAGTTGGATTGGAAAGCCAATAAATACAGATATAACTTTCATGTTTTTCATTTTTTTTCGAAATCCGAATTTGATTAGTGGCAAACATCACATTAAACATCTTACCAACTCACAAATGAACTTTTGAAAAATTGAATAGAAGCACCAATTGGATTGAAGTTTTTCTTTTTTACAAATTCCAGTTTTAACGGTTCAAAGTGGATGCAAAACCAACAAATAGAGCTAGAAATACCATTTTTGTAATTGTTTCAATTAAAAATTTGAATTAGGTCGGTGTAAGAAAATCATATTGTGTAAAATCATCTTACAGGCGCACAGTGAAGTTCTAAATTAAAAACTAAGCAACACCAGTGTACCATTTTAATCATAATGTTTTTATACAAATTTCGATTTAAGTTATTAAACTTGTGTTAGAAATCAATCAAATAGATTACAACTTTCATGTTTGTATTTTCTTTTTTAATTTTGAATTGGATCAATGTCAAAATTTACAATACGTATAGGAAACACCTTAAAAATGAGCATTGCAATTTTTGAAAATTTGGACACGTTTTCTCACGGAATTTTAGCTAATAAAAAAGATATATAGACATGCTAGGGGACTTTTAACTAAATAATAAATTTTTGTGTCCTTTATGCTATTTATTTCAATTTGTAGGGATTTTCTTGCATATTCGCACTTTTTAAAAGGTATTTGATCTTTTAAATTTCTGCGATTAATTTAGAGGTTTGCTATTATCGGAGTTTTCATGTACATGGTGAAATAATTCATTTGTGGAGAAACATTTTAATTTTTTTCAAATTCTCTCAACCTTCAAATAAATCGAACTTTTTAGATCTTGATTTTTTTTTTCTCATACAATCAGTTAGAACACAATTATTAATATGGCCAACATCGGTCTGGATAATGCATTTGACTGTGAGTGATGACAAGCATTTTCATCCTCCGACGTTGTTTCATCACGGACATAGTACGACTAGTAGTATAACTCGATCCACATCAGAAAACAAAAATTAAAGAATTGAGAAATTCTCATGTGAAGTCCATGTTAATCATGGATAGATTGAGGAAAGATGATCTGACGATACAAACCTCCATGAAGCATGTTTACAATTAGTTCGCAAAGATTAAATCAGAATAAATGGAGGAGATGACTCTTATTCAGTTTATGATGCATAACTTTCAACAATGTCGATATCGATATTGTCATCACGTCGATAGTGAAACAAGCAACACAATGACGGATGTTATGTTTGCATGCTCCAAATCGATTAAGCTACTACGACTGTTTCCGTGTGTTATATTGATGGACTGCACATACCAAACTAATAAGTAAGTAAGCTTCTACGATTGTTTAAATTTTAATTGTAGTTTTATAATTTATTGTTTAAATGTATAAAACTGTTTGATGTAGGTATGGAATGACTATTTTGAAAATAATTGGGATTACTCCAGTTGGCAACAATTTCACGATTGTTGTTACATTTATGTCGCATGAAGATGCAGACACCTACGAGTGGACTTTGAATTGTTTGAGAGAGTTATTAGATGGTGTCGAACCTGATGCGATCCTGTCAGACCGGGAGTTGGATCTCTTGAAAGCACTGTCAAAGGTCTTACCTGTTTCGTATCACATGTGCATGTTTATTCAATATAAACAGAAATGTTGAGGCCAAATGCAACAAAAAATATAGGAGACAACAAAAACCAATGTCTAATAGTCCGATATTGAGTGTGAGCTAAGCTGGTAAAATCAGAGACAAAAAAAATATCACTACAATTACCAAATAAAAAAGTAAAATAAATAAATAAAGATACATGATATTCAAATTATGAACATAGTAATATTATTTTCCAAGTTTTCAGAAACTAAAAATAAAAATAACTATCATGCATTTATTTATTTTTTTTACTTCAGATGCATATTTCAATGTGATTGTGTATCTTATTTTATTTCCTTAGTTACAATACAATAATCTATAGTATTTATGCAATACAAGTACGTCTAAAATTATGGTCAAAAGTAAAAATAAAAAAATCTCAATAGTTAATTCGGTGGTCAACGATCGATTAACGCTGTATTTGTTTTATGCGGGGCTGTTAATGCTACAATAGACGAAAATTTATAATTTTATATAAAATAATAAGGATTTAAGAAATGTTGGGGGAGACATGTCACCCCCCGCTCTATCTTGTCTCAACCATTTCCTGAAACTAATAGTCCATTAGAACCCTAGTGAAATAACTTATTCAGTGCATTATCTCGTTAGAGTTTCTATCGATAGTTCAGGGGGGTCATTGTAATTATCGATACCCCAGGAAACTTAAAATTATTTTAGCATACCTCAGGGGTGTAGTTGTAATTTACCCTAAAAGAAATACACATACATTAGAGCCTTGATAAATTAATATTAGTTAAATTAATAACCTCGTTTAAATAATAAGTTCTTCCGATCCGGACACCGTAAAAATACACTAAATTATTTGTTTACAAATATAATATTTTGCTAAATTAAAGAATTTCACTAGTCCCAATTATATAACTTATGGAGGTACAAGTGTACATATATTTTCTTTTTGTAAATGAACCAAACTTTAGGTAAGTTACCAACGTAATAACTAGAAGAAAATAAATAACTTTATGGGTGCATTTAAAATGATGAATTCGAAGATGAATATTAAATGATTTTAAATGAGATGAATTTAGAATCCAACTTTATTGGTAGCCTTTTGAAATTCTTTTTAGGGTAAATAACACTTAACCCCCTTGTGGTTTGGGCATTTTACATATGACCCCCTTGTGGTTTGAAATTAGGCACATAACCCCCTTGTGGTTTTGACATTTTGCACATGACCCCCCTACGGTATGAAATTAGGCACATAACCCCCTTGTGGTTTTGAAATTTTGCACGTGACCCCCTTATGGTATGAAATTAGCACATATCCCCTTGAATAGAAAACTGGAAATGACTAAATTACCCCTATCAAGTCAAAAGTTCTTGTTTTAATTTTAAAATAATTATTTTATAAAATAAAAAACTTAATGTATTTTTTTGTAAAATGAGAAATGTAATATATTATCGTGTTTTTTTTTTAATTTTACAGCACAAAAGGTATATAATATTAGTTATTGTACGATTGACAATTTATTCGATTTTAAAAATCAATTTGAAAATCTTTAACATATCATTAATTATGATTATTATATTACTATTTTCTATATAATATATTATATTATAGTTGTTATCGAACTTTAATTTTTTTAAGAAACAAAGTCTTTATTTCTTTTGTGGAAAATTCTAAAAAAACATTTCTCTATTGTTGAAATGAAAATGAAATTAAATATATATATATATATATATATATATATATATATATATATATATGTGCCGTAAAATAGAAAAAACACAATAATATATTATATTTATCATTATACAAAAAAGTACATTAAGCTTTTCATTTTATAGAATAATTACTTTTAAATTAAAACAAGAACTTTTGACTTGATAGGGGCAATTTAGTCTTTTCCAATTTTTTACTCAAGGGGGTTATGTGCTAATTTCATACCATAAGGGGGTCATGTGCAAAATTTCAAAACCGCAAGGGGGTTATGTGCCTAATTTCAAACCATAAGGGGGTTATGTGCAAAATGCCCAAACCACAAGGGAGTTATGTGCCTAATTTCAAACCACAAGGGGGTCCTGTGCAAAATGCCCAAACCACAAGGGGGTTAAGTGCTATTTACCCTTCTTTTTACTATTTCTCTAAAATAAAATTATCTCCCTAAAATATTTCAAAAACTTTCCCAAATAAAAGTTCAAATATTTTTCTCTTAACAAACATGATTTGACTGTTACACTGAAAATCGTCTTCATCAAAATATAAATTAAAATCACTTTCTCTTTTAAATTCTTCTTTAAAAATACTTTTTTTTTTCAACACATTTTAAATATGATTTGACTTGCTACAGTTAAATTGTCTCCTCTTAAAACACAAACAAACTTTGTTTTATTTTCAAATTCTTCTCCCAAAACATCTTTTTCCAAAATAAAATTAAAACGGAAGCTCAAAAGCTTACTAAACATAGCATTAAACTTCAATAGTGCATTTACATTGATGGATATGAAAATGATTTTTAAATGACTTTACAAGGGAGATGAATTTAGAGTCCACCATAATGATTTGATTGAAAATGAGATTCATCATCATCAGATCGAAATTAGCGTTTTTGGAAGTGAAAAATTAATTACAATTCTATTCCAAGACAGACTTATTAAAATAAGATTTTTTTTTCTTCAGAAATTGGAATGAAAAACTTGTTGTATAATTAAATATTTTCGGATCGGAATAGACAACATTTTCGGAAGTGAAAAATAAATTACAATTTTATTCCAAGACTTATTAAAATAAGAAAAAAATGAAATTTCAAAAATTGGAATGAAAAACTTGTATAATCGAATATTTTCGGACCAGAATAGACATAATGTGGAAAATTCCTACTTCTAGTAACTTAAAATGGAAAATATATAATACTTTTTATAATATAAGTGTAATTTTAGGAAACAAAATCGCAATTTTGAAAAAAAAATATCGGCATTCCAATCCTAAAAAAAATTCCTACAACTTCTCAAAATGAAAAAAATATTATTCCAAATATCGAAAAATTTCGTATCTGAATCGACGAAATATCCGAAATTCCGTTTCAATTTCCACCCCTAGCTATGACTAAAAAATAATTCAAAATGAGAGCTAGTGGGATTATAATTCAATATCGCATGAATAGTCAACATTTTCATTTGTTTTATATCACACCAAAAAAAAAAAAATTAAAAAAAGAAGTAAAAAGAAAGAAAAAAAGAGAGAAAAAAAAAGAAGAAAAGAAAAACTACCACATTTAAGACATCCCATTCACAGGCAATGTGCCAACTGCCAGCACCCCCACCCCCAAACACACACAACACACACTGCGGCACAAATAAAACACCACCCCCCCCCAATCCCTACTCATAAATTCTCGCCCTCTTCTTTTCACCTCCTCACATTCTCTCACTACTGAGAACTGAGTAGAGCATATTTTTCCCCAAAACCGAGGAGAGAGAGAGAGAGAGTTAGAGAGAGAGAGAGAGTGAGAGATGGCCGAATCGACACTGCTCACAGATCTCGGCACTCAGATTATCATCCCTGTCTGCGCTTTAGTTGGAATAGCTTTCGCTCTCCTGCAATGGTACTTCGTCGCCAAGGTCAAGGTTTCGTCGGAAAAATCCGACGCCAAAAATGGTTTCTCTGAGCCGCTCATTGAGGAGGAGGACGGCGTCAGTGATCACGCCGTCGTTCGCAAGTGCGCCGAGATCCAAGCCGCCATCTCTGAAGGTAATTTAATTTTTCCCCCCCATTTCCGCGGGTTTTGGGGATTTATGGATCTCGATTTTTTCGTATGTGTGTTTTTATCTTTTATCGGCTCACTTTCGATTTATACATTTGAAAAAAATAAAAATAAAAATAATATATATATATATATATATATATATATATATATATATATATATATATATATATATATATATATATATGAATTCGTTATGAGTATCTGCGAGGGTTTATGAGACGATTAACTCCATAAAGTTACTGATTTTTCACTTGAATATTTTGTTGGGTTAAATGTTCAGATCTTTCCATTTTTCATATAAATGCATTTACTCTCTCTTCTAAAGGGCAATTTTGAGCATAAAGTTTGTTTCTTTTTTGTTTTCTTTTCTGTGGATTCATTCACAATCTCATTAAGATCTATCTTCTTCTTCTTCATCTTAATTTCTTATTGTTTCATATGTGAACACGTGTGAGGTGACTTGGACTTTTTTTCAGTCTTTGGCCTTTGTTTAATTATTGTATTAATAGAAGTTGGATTTTATTAACCGGCACGCAATGTTACATACTTTAATTCCGACTATCTTGCTTTTTATTCACTCGTCCAATGGGCCCTGTATAATAAAACAAATAAATAAATAAATAAATAAATAAACAATGTTGCTGCTGATCTATTCTCCTTTCCCCTTTTTCATTCTTGTTGTGTAATGTGTGTTTTAAGATATCTCATACATCTTGTTCACATATTACATGGGGTGTTTTTTTTTTCTTTCTTTAATGTTCCAGCATTTTAACGAGGCCGATAAGAATTCTCGAATTTGAATAGTTCGGAAGTTGAACAAAATGACATATTCGTGATAATATTTCCGTGACGAATATATATTTTTTTTAAGGATAATTACTTAAACAATGTTATCTCAATATTTCAAATTTTAAAATGGGAAAATGATTTAACTCCACAGAAATATTTAATGTGTGTTATAAGCTGATACTAGTAAACGAGGTGCGATCTTTTTGACAATGTGTTTCGTAGCTTATGTTGGAAATCATGCAGAAATGTAAGAGATTGATGCATACTGTAAAATCTCCATATCTTCTTGATAATGTTTTTTCCAAAGAAGCTTTTTGATGCTTGTTTAAAATGAATTTTCTCAAGAAACTCGAAATGGAAACGTGACCAACAAATACACACGGTTACTTTTCTGACCCAACTTCTGCTAATATTACTGTTGCGTAACAGGTTCAACATCGTTTCTTTACACCGAGTACAAATATGTCGGCATATTCATGGTTGCTTTTGCCGTCGTGATTTTCGTCTTCCTCGGATCAGTAGAGGGATTCAGCACAAAGCCGCAAACTTGTACTTACGACGCAACCAAACTGTGCAAGCCCGCTCTTGCCACAGCTGCTTTCAGCACCATATCCTTCATACTCGGTGCAGTCACTTCTGTCATTTCTGGCTTTCTTGGAATGAAAATTGCCACGTATGCCAACGCCCGTACCACTTTAGAGGCTAGAAAGGGTGTGGGAAAAGCCTTCATCGTTGCATTTAGATCTGGTGCAGTTATGGGCTTCCTTCTCGCTGCAAATGGGCTTCTTGTTTTGTACATTGTCATAAACCTCTTCAAGTTGTACTATGGAGATGATTGGGAAGGCCTTTTTGAGGCTATAACGGGGTATGGTCTTGGTGGATCTTCCATGGCTCTTTTTGGTAGAGTTGCTGGCGGTATTTACACCAAAGCTGCTGATGTAGGGGCGGATCTTGTGGGCAAGGTAGAAAGGAATATTCCGGAAGATGACCCGAGGAACCCTGCTGTAAGTACGGATAGTAATCCTCTCAGAATTATTACTTAATTTAATTCTTTCATCTGCAACATAAATATTGAGATTCTTTTTTTTTTTTTTTTTTTTGTGCAGGTGATTGCAGATAATGTTGGTGACAATGTTGGGGATATTGCTGGAATGGGGTCCGATTTATTTGGGTCGTATGCAGAGTCTTCTTGTGCTGCACTTGTTGTTGCTTCGATCTCGTCTTTTGGGATAAACCATGAATTCACTGCTATGCTGTATCCTCTATTAGTGAGCTCCGTGGGAATAATCGTTTGTTTGTTGACCACCTTATTTGCAACTGATTTCTTTGAGGTCAAAGAGGTTGACCAAATTGAGCCGGCACTGAAGAAGCAACTTGTTATCTCGACTGTGTTGATGACTGTTGGAATAGCTCTCGTTAGTTGGATTGCCCTTCCTTCCTCCTTCACAATATTCAATTTCGGAGTCCAGAAAGAAGTTAAGAGCTGGTGAGTTCAGTATAGCTCTGGGTTTCCTTTTTTACCGTTAATTCTTGGAAACATCTGAATATTATATTTTCATGATATTTTTTTTGAAAAGAAATGAATAAATATTTCATTTTCTTGCTTTTCTTTTATGCAGGCAATTATTCTTGTGTGTTGCTGTTGGTTTGTGGGCTGGCCTAATCATTGGGTTTGTCACAGAGTACTACACGAGCAATGCTTACAGGTATCTTTCTTGAAAAAAAACGATCTAAAATGAAGTAATAATTATTGAATATAAACGGCCGATTTGAAAGTCGTGTTTTCTTGTTGTTTTTCCAGCCCAGTACAGGATGTTGCAGACTCATGCAGAACTGGAGCAGCTACAAATGTGATTTTCGGGCTTGCATTGGGATACAAATCAGTGATAATTCCGATATTCGCCATAGCAATTAGCATTTTCGTCAGTTTCAGCTTTGCAGCGATGTATGGGATAGCAGTAGCTGCACTTGGAATGCTGAGCACAATAGCGACTGGTTTGGCGATAGATGCATATGGACCAATCAGTGACAACGCTGGTGGTATTGCTGAGATGGCTGGCATGAGCGCCGTTATTCGTGAGAGAACCGATGCCCTTGATGCTGCAGGAAACACCACCGCAGCTATCGGAAAGGTAATTAATGTTTCTTTTACACTAAAATTAATATTTTTGTATTATGCTTTTTGATCAATGTAAGTAGATCATCTTCTAACAAATATTGTCTTAATATCAGGATTTTTTATCAAATATATGTAGCTTTTTTTTTGGTAATTTGACCATACCTCATGGGGTTCTGGTAATTTAATATTATTTATTTATTTTTATCAAACTTGAGAGCATTACACACCTTACATAGTTTTTCTGTTAAGAAATATGATCAATCATTAGTAAGAGGTTTTTTGTTTTTGGTAATTATTAATACATGAGTTTTTTTGGGGACGTTGACATTAGTTCATGGGGTTCTTTTACCCTTATTAATAATTTTGATCAATATAACCACTTCTGGAAAAAAATCTGTTTTTTTTTCACAAGTGAATTATTTTGAATTCCATTCCAAAAGGATTCGGAATTTCTGAAATTGGAATGAAAATAGTTGTTCCAAATTCTAAATTTTTTGGATTGGAATCGACGGAAATCGGAATTTCTACTTTTAGTCACCTAAATATAATAATATTGATACTTCCCTTGTAATTCCAATTCCGTACCAAAAAAAATGGACAATCGAAAATCGGAACTTGTGGAATGAAAAATATGGTTCCAAACTCGAAAATATTCTGATCGGAATCAGTGGAATTCAGGAAATAACATTCCAATTTACACCTCTTAACTAATTTTTATAAATATAACAACCCGTCTTTACATCATCTTTTGTCTAAAATTTTTGCCTTCTATTTTCAGGGATTTGCGATTGGATCAGCTGCACTTGTGTCACTTGCACTATTCGGTGCATTTGTGAGCCGAGCGGCAATTTCGAAAGTGGACGTTTTGACCCCGAAAGTGTTCATCGGTTTGCTAGTGGGTGCAATGCTTCCATATTGGTTCTCAGCCATGACAATGAAGAGTGTGGGGAGTGCAGCTCTAAAGATGGTTGAAGAAGTGAGAAGGCAATTCAACACAATGCCTGGTATAATGTTGGGCACTCAAAAGCCCGATTATGCAACCTGCGTTAAGATCTCAACTGATGCTTCTATCAAAGAGATGATTGCTCCTGGTGCTCTTGTTATGCTTACTCCTCTCATTGTCGGTGTTTTCTTTGGCGTCGAAACACTCTCCGGTGTTCTTGCCGGTTCTCTCGTCTCTGGTGTTCAGGTGATGTTCTCTCTCTCTCTCTCTCTCTCTCTCTATATATATATATATATATATATATATATATATATATATATATATATATACACATGATCAAATGGAGCCTAAATGGTTTTTCTGTTGTAAGAATCTTTGTGAAATTTGACACTTACACCCCTTTCATTTATGTAATGCAGATTGCCATCTCTGCATCAAACACCGGTGGTGCTTGGGATAATGCCAAAAAATATATCGAGGTAAATTATTATAATTATTATTTAAAAAAAATCAGCTACAGTAAACACTGACCGAAGGATTGAATGTATACTCGTCTTTTGGGAAATTATTACAGGCTGGTGCTTCGGAGCATGCAAGGACACTGGGTCCAAAAGGGTCGGACGCACACAAGGCAGCTGTAATTGGAGACACAGTCGGGGACCCACTCAAGGATACATCTGGACCTTCGCTCAACATTCTTATCAAGCTTATGGCTGTTGAATCCCTCGTCTTTGCCCCCTTCTTTGCTACTCATGGTGGCTTGCTCTTCAAACTTTTCTAAACAGGGGATGATGTCATGATGATGATGTCACTATGATGATGATGATGATGACGATGACGAACTCCATGTAATTTGCCCTCTCCTCCCACATTTTGTAATCTCAGCTCCATTTCTAGTACTTTGGTTTCTTCTTGCCTTCCAAACTGTTTATCTATCCTCATAAAGATTCTGAGGAGAAAATTTTCCATCAACTGTATTCTATTCTTTCACTGAGTTAATCGACATTTTATTCTCCCATTTTACTTTTCTTTTGCCAACTTATTTTTCAGGCTAATTTCGTCTAATATCCTGTCACTTTTATATGCTCTCAGAGTTCGTTAGAATTCTCCCCAACCGATTGTCCATCACTACCATCACTATCGTTTATATTAATTAAACCACCACTCATATCTAAAGGTTCATTCCCAGTACCTCCAACAACTTCATTCCCAGTATCCCCAGTAGGTTCATTTAGACTAGGTTCATTTAGATCATTTGCCTGTAGGGGTTCATCAGTTCATCAGTATCATCTAACATCAGGTAAATCATTTATTTGTCCAATTTCACCCTTCCTGGATTTATTTTCACTCAATTCTAGCAAATTTTCATGCTGAACATATACTTCAGTGACTCCTTCATTATCAAGAAACTAAAAACAGAGTATCAACATCGTGTTGTATCTTTGAAGGATAATGGCTGTCATTTTTTTTTTGACATACCCCTATTGTGCAGAAAATGAACCACATGAATCAATCCTAACTCTTTAGCCATTTTATTTAATTTTAACACTGACATTTCATCTTCATCACACCAATCAAAATAATCAACTTTGCCACCCACATAATATATGCCATTTAACTCAACAGTTTTATTAGAATGATACATTCTAAATAGTGAAATAATCACTATTAGGACCTGCATTCATATGAATAAAAAAATTCTAGTCGAGAATAAAAAATTGGCATAGATGACAGTGGAAAAATAAACAGGGACAATTAGCCATAACCCCCTCTAGTATTTTTTTAATAAGGGGGATCCGGCCATATTTTCAATAATAGTAGAAAACCCACTATTTTAATGATTTACAAAAATAGCATTCAGAATACGCATACACAAAATCCGGAAATTTTGAGATCCCTACAATCGTGTGTGATTGATTATATTCCAAAAAAATCGCTTCCCAAATCTTTCCATAAACTCCCATCTACAAACTCTATTTTTTTAATATATAATTTGAATAAATTTAAATTTTCGTTTTTTTATTATTTTATTTTAAAACTAACAATAATAGCTATAAAAATATATTTTTCTTTTAATTTTTTATTTAAAAAATATTTTATTTTTTTTAAATTTTTTTAATTTCCTTTTTTTTGTTCGGAATCAACTATAAAGATTCTGAAACCAGCTATAATATTTCCGAAATCGACTATAATTTCGATTTTTTTATTTCATTTTTCTTAATTTTAATTTTCAGTTATTTTTGGCATTTTTTTCCAGAAAACAACTATTTTTTTGCCATTTTTTTTAATAAAAACAACTATAAATCGTAAAATAACTATTAGAAAATAACTATTTTTTTCGACTGTTTTTTTTTTTTCGCCATAATCAACTATTAGAAAACTGTAAAACAACTATAAATTAACGTACATCAACTATAAAAAATCGAAATCACCTACAAAGTTGTCGAAATCAACTATAAAATTATTGGAAATCAATTAAAAAAATTAAAAACAACTACAAATTATCGAAATTGGCTATGAAATTAAAAAACCCCCAATGGTACTGGAAGTGAAAAGTGGAGATTTTTTCGATGGGGAAGTCGGTTTTCGCTGCTCGGCTAACGCAACGCCTGATTTCTTCAACTACAAAGAACTGAAAACAACATTACGAAAATCAACTACAACATTATAAAAATCAACTACAAAAAACTGAAAATAACTAAAAAAATCAAAAGTAACTTTAACATTAACAAAAACAACTATAACTGTATCGAAATCAACTATAAAAATATATCCCCAAATTTCAGCAAAACTACTATTACAGTAGAAACTCGATAAATTAATACTCGATAAATTAATAATCTCGCTTAAATAAAAAGTTTTCCCGGTCCCGACTAGGGGACAACGTGCTTAATTAATAATTCGCTAAATTTATAAGATAATACACATTCGAAAATTTTAAGAAGCCCCATATAATATATAGATTAATAATTCATAAAAATAATTCTTAAATTACACGGTACAATACATATTTTATAGATCTATGAAGGTTTAATAAAATATAATTTCATTGCCCTTTGTTTTTGTTGAAGTTCACATTACAACCAATCTTGTGTCTCACTTTTCTTAACATGGTTAGAACTTCTGTTATAGCTTTCGCATAAATCAACATGAAATTGTTCAATAACATCGCTGCTTTAAGAGCTTCCGTTCGTGAAACGAGCTCTATAGTGCGTTGAACTAATGGTACTATGAATAATATACACGTAAAAAAAAAAAATATATTTATTGAAAATAATAATAAAAATAATTTCATAAATTAATAAATTATTAATTAATGTATAAATTAATAATTATTAATTTATTGATAAGTTAATATTTCGCTAAATTAATGAAATTTTGATGATCCCAACTGTATTAATTTATAGAGGTTTAACTTACTTCGAGCGAATACAACTACAAAAAAACATCTTCTCAGATCCAATTCACTTTCTTCCTCGACTCTTCAACATTCAACATAGCACAATTCTTCGAGATCAAATGCTATTTAATGATTCAATCAAGACACAACGTCATAACTTTTAATCTAAGAAAATAATTAATTGGAAAAAAAAATGGATAAACATTCAAATAACAATGGAATACATAAAAGTTTCAAAGAATTTCTAGCAAGGATATGAATATAATTGAAATCCATTACAACATGAAATTACGAACACTACGAATAACTTACAATCTCTTCTCTTGTAGAAAAATCTCTGTGTTCATATGCTTCTTGCGTCTCGAAAATCTTCTCAAACCAAAACAATTCTCTATGAAAATTCCCTGAGAACTCGTGATGGATATAAGATTTTGGGCGAGAAAGCAGAGAAAAGAAGAAGGTGATGTGGTCGTCGGAGGTGGCTGTGGAGGAGCGGCGGCGATGAGGAGGTTAGTGTTGGAGATGACGTGAAAAAAAAAAAAAAGAGAGAAGAGAGAGAGAGAGAGAGAGAGAGAGAGAGAGAGAGAGAGAGAGGGCGGAGAAACGAGAGAGACGGCTAGTCAAGAGAAAAGAAAGAGGAAGAAGAGAAATAGGGTTCGGTGATATTATATGGTAATTAAGGGTAATATAGGTTTATTACTTCAAATTTTAATTTATGCTAAATTGAAATATAAAACAAGGGAGGTTTCACTAATATGCAAAATAGGGTTATATCCATCATAATATAACCCAATGTGTTGGGGGTTTTCACTAATTATCCCAAATAAATAAGTATGTTTCAAGAAAGGAGACAATGTTTTTGGAATGCATATTTTTTCATATTTTAAGCACATACAAGCATATTACAAGAAACATTTTGAATAAAAAAAACTTTATCATTGATTTGATAAAACAAACAAGCATAATAAAGATCGATACACATTTGAATAACCTACACATTTGAATAACCTACTATATTCTGGAGTAGATCGTCCATGAGGGATGTCTACATTTTCTTGCCGTAATTTCCAAACCATTCCGAGCTAGCGACGCGTTCAAACTGGAAGGAATTTTGAGAGAATTTTTCTGAAATGAAAAAACTTAGAGAAAACGAAAAGGGGAAAGTTTTAAGAGAATGTAAAGTGTAAATTGAGCAGGTAACAGAAAATGGATATAGAACCCTAAGTTAATTTCTAAGTGATGAGATGTTTTTCCCGTTTTAAATTTCACGTGAAAGGCACGTGTATGAGATTCCGGCCAATCCCCTTTTTGAGGCACCGTGCAACAAAAAACGCAGTTCAGGTAAAAACGTGCAAACTATTTTTGTTTGGGGGTAAAGTGCTTTTTACTCTTATTTTTCATTCTGTTTGAATTTTTTTTAAACAAAGTTGGAGAAAAAGAAAAAAGAAAATACAAATTTTAAAAATTAATAAAAGCTTAGAGAGCGACTGATGCGAGAAGGAACAATGTATTTGGTGATCATGACAAATCTTATTCATTTCTTCCCCTCATATTGAGGAAGCTACAAGACTAGTTAGGGCAATTTTTTTTTCACTTCAAGAATGATGAGGTCAAGAGGAATTTTTGCTGTTCGTTTTTTGCATTTGTTGTCTGGTTGGTTAGATTAAAGTCTTGTCAGCCTATTTTGATGGTTGATGGCATCTTCTTGTGTGGTAAACACATCGGTACTCTTTTAAGTGTTGTTGCAGGATAGTGACGATGGTAAATAAATAATTATATTTACGGCATCTCCAACCATCCAAAAATTGGTCTGCTGTATGTTTAAAAAGGGAAGATATACCATTTCTCCAAAAAAACTCAACTCCAACGGGAGAGGTAAAATTTACCGCATATGCTAAAATCAAATCCCCACCCGGTATATACACCATAGAATTAGACTGAACGGTAAATCAATCAAGACTTCCTTACTAAGCTTTTAGTAAAGTGTAAGGTAGGCTAGGCCTTCCCCATAAAATATCTCTCCTCTTCCGGTGTCAACGCCACTCCTTTTCGCGGGGTATAAGGAGAAATTTCGTTCTCATGGCCCATGTCGAAGGGAATAGAATGACAATCCCTTAGGTCTCTGCCGATGCTGCTAAGAAGCGCAGAGTTTTGATTAGATTCATAGATGTTATTAGCTTCTTCAATAGATAAGAGATCTATCATGCTTATTCGGGAAACGTAAGGAAAGTCTTCAAAATAAGGATTTCAAATGCTTTCTCCCGGTTTTAATGAAATTTCACATAAGAGAGAAAATTCTTCCTATTTTAATTGCTGTCTTCCGAGTAAGAAAGCATTTTCATCATTTTACACATATAGAAGAATGAATCAAAACCAATTCAATTAGAAAGAAATATGAATTGCTTTCATAGATGCTAAATGGAAAAAAAATATTAAAATAATTATGAACAGTAAAAAAATAATTACAGATCTCCCAACTGTAAAAAATAACTTCGGTGGATAATATATTTTTCTATAAAAAAAAATGAAATAATCTATGCATTAAAAACACAACCAAAAAAAATCTTCAAGCAAAAGGAACAATCAGATAGAAAAAAAATTCAGAAAACGTTGAGAGGTTCATTTCTGCCCTGCTGATG